TTTCGTATAGTACCCATACAAACGTACCCCCCGAATAGGACTTTTGAGCTAATAAATATGTTAAATGTTCTTGTATCACTTCAAAAAACGGCAGAACTTAGTTTTATAAAAGTCCTTATGATACTGCTTATTTTCGTAATGATCGGGCCTCATTTGACCCGATCCCCCTTACAAAGTCCCCTTCAGAAAATGACTTGATGGTCAAAATTCACTTATAAACACTAATATCATGATGATATTCTGCATAAATACCAAAATATATAAGGATTGGACCATAATAACCCCCTGCCCCCATATAACCCCCCATTTAGAAATGCATTTTTTGTCAACAAATTGTTAAAATAATATGTATTTCTGAACTGGTCTATGGTATCATATAGTCGGCCATGGCCGAATATAAATTCGTACTTGTTTTATTATTAAAGCTTTTGAGCTCATAAATATGTTAAATGTTATTCAAAATAAATCTAGTCAAAATACTAGTCTAAATTATACCGCTAATTTTCGTAATGAACGGGATTTATTTGACCCTAGCCCCTTCGGAAAATCTCTTGAAGGCCAAAATTCACTTATAAACGCTAATATCGCTAATGAAATTCTGCATAAATAACTTTAATGTAGACGTAAATCCCTCTAACAAGATTTATAAGGATAGGCCCATACTAACCCCTTCCCCCATATAACTCCTCGTTTAGAAAATCTCCTTTTTTGGTAACAAAATTAAGTTAAAAATCAAAATTAATTCATTATTATTAAAGAAATATTTCACATTTACATGTTGGAGTAGATTGAACAATCACTCTGCAGTTCGGTCTAACCACTAGGCACCCTACTACTCAGATGACTAATTATTTTAGCTTGTCCTAGAAGAATAATCACACCATAGATTACAAGAAGACATTCCCAAAGTTAGTCCAAAAGAGTAAATACATGGAAATAAAACATTTTGCTTAAGGCTTTTTTAATATCTAGACAGTAAAGTGTTGAATGTCTCCGCTCTTTCTTACAAAAGAGAAACTGAAGTAACGACTATATTTGCACCCGTTTACAGAGAGTACATTCATGACGGAAGTTGAATTAGAGTCAACCATGTATTGACTCTTTGTCGAACTACTGGGAAATCTTGTACACAAGGTTCACAAGGACACATACATATGTATAAGCGGACGTACGGATAGTCGGTTATAGCTTAAACGATCCAACTGATGAGTAGTCTTTAAGGAATAGGATGCGATTAATAACTGAACAAACGCATAATACCCTCTCCAAATGTTATAGATAACTACATATTTTCAAATATATTTTAGGCATTTGTACATTCGCTCGTTAGGATATTGGAATTGTCATTCTCATAAAATTTTTTTCTGGTCCACTGATTGCGAAATTACAAATACTACAAATTTAAATCAATATATATGAAGAACCATCCATGTAGTGGTAATTGGTTTTGAACATTGGTCGGTTGGGCATTTTCTTCTAAGAAACCTTATCAACATAGACATTTTTATAGAATATAATATTTCTCAGTCCTAATCTTATAGGTCTTAATATATCTTTAGTACCCCTTGGACATGATACCTTGATGAACCTTCCCCATCTTGGTGTGATTAAAATCCGGGGAACAGGTAAACCGCAGGCCAGAGTTTCGGACTTTGTCCCGGTTATTGGAGATGTTACTTGGGGGTGACATCATACCTTTATCTGAGTATGTTCAGAGTTTACTCAGAGTTCATACCAGACTTATCACAGTGTGTCCTTATATCTCTTTGAAAAAATATGCAATTATGGTTGATTTGGGAATCGTTGCAATGTAATACTAAGAGTACATTGCTTTGAAGAAAGTTCCTAAGGCAGTTTTAAATATAATTTTTTATATATACATACATTTACAGGTTTTATTTAACCTTTACCCCAAATTATTGAAATGAGCTGAAAAATTGCTTGCGGCTGATCAAGTGGAAAGTGTAAAATGTTTAAGGGAAGTATTTATCTTTTTCTCTTGATGCTCTTTTTTAAATAAATTTATATAAAATATAAATTATATTTACATATGTAAATAAAATTATATAATCATTTAACTTTTTGAATTTTTTGTTTTGAATATCAGAAAGTCGTATTAAAATTAAGTACACACACGCCTATTTTGAAAGCATGTTATTATATCAAGATGATGGAGACAATATGTTTATTAGGTTGGCTCCGATTGTGTGGAACTAAAGAATTTTTATACCCACCATGAAAAGCAAGATAGAGTCCGAATTTTTATTAAATGTTTTTAAAAACATGACCCTGGACTGGCACTCTTAAGAATTTTGTTGACATTTCAAGCATTATCTCTCCCGTTGACAAATCAATTTGAGTAATTTTTCACTGCCCACTTTTTAGAAGCCCTACTAATGTTAATATGCTGTTTTTTACCTTCCTATTGATACAATTTATAAGGCATTACATTCGCTTTTATTTTCATTTATTTATTTATTCATGTTATAATTGTAAATACACAAATTCATGTGTAATGGCTCGTAATGTGTTTATTTACAACCGACATCCCTATAAATTCCTTTTTTCACCTTGGCTGAATTCTTAAACAAAACAAGAAAAAGAGAAATACAAATAAGTGTTAACATTTGTTTCTTGGAAGACATACATATGCACATTCACACGAATGAAATCAATTGAATAATTTATTAATGGAGTAAAAAAAACATTAGTGTTGCTCTTAAAAACATTGTTTTAATTTTTTCGATTTTACAAAATTTTTTTCAATCACAGGAGAGTTAGAGGCGATTCACCACCTATAGCTTCGGTGTCAGACATCGAACCATGTAAAAGTTTGGGAACATGTGCTATCTAATATCTGATCATCACGTCTCTGTTGCAATATGCTTCTGAAGTGTCTGTTCCGTTTACAATCACTCAAATGCAATGGCCTCTGTTGATTCGACAGAGACAAGTTCTAACAGGAATCGTACTGATATATTTATACCAGAACACTGAAGTTAATTTTTATCGATCGAGAAAAACATTCGACATATTAATCTGTGTGTGTTGGTGGGGTAAGCTACGTAGACCTATGATTCCTTCTGTATTCCAATTCGATTGTTATCAATGCATTCACAACATTTAGCTCCATATCGAACATATTCCGAAATATTGATTTCACAGTACATCAGTCTTTACACTAATATTTTTTCCCACAATTTGGGCTTCAACCAAATAAATTTTAAAAATCTAACCTTCGGCCTAACGGTGGTTTATATTATCTGGTCAGACCGCGTATCAAATGACTCCACCAGATTATAGTTCTTTCAGAATGAAGGCATCATTAGTAGTGAGGGTAATTCACCAAGTTATGTTCATGTACAAGCACTTTGCTAATCTCTTGCCATAGTAGCCATGGGACAAGCCCAATATATACCCCGACAAGGAAAATACAATCACTAGAGTCAATAATGTTTCTCTAAAACATTCTCACCATCTAAATATGAGAATGTTTTAGCTTAAGGTATGAGCGCATACCATAGCTCTTAAAGGCCCAAAACCACACTACTGAGATGGCTCTGTTGTTTCGGCAACAGTATCTAGGGTCGTAAGTGATGTTCCGAAGTACGGATCCATTTTTAATTAACAAGACTTATTTCAGTGACCACAAGGACCTATTGTTATAAGTTGAGCGTGTTTTTAGAGTAAACTCAAAATAACTCAGAATTACATCAGACTCATTACATCAAACTCATGCCCAATCTTTGCATTATCAGCTCAAATCCAAGATTTTATTAATCCACAGTCTTACCACAGCCACAGCACAAAGTTATGCGGGCAACTGGCCACCCGTAATACCACATTATCTGGTGCTCTGGTTCGGTCCCATGTCAAATCATTCCAAGAAACTCATTCCCTTCCCGCAAATTTAGGTTTAAGCCAAAGCCACTACGTGGATCCTCAACCAAATGACCAGCCAGGAAAAAGACAAGCGGGCAACTGGCTACCCGTAATACCACACTATCCTTTAAGTAGTTGACACGCCCACTGTTTAAAGTCCTCCCTTTTTATACCCATCATGTTTTTGTCATTCCGTTTGTAACACATTGAAATATTCGTCTAAGACCCATTAAAGTATATATATTCTGGGTCCTTATTTGTTTGTTATTGAAAATGGGCAATATCGGTGCACGATTTCGCCTACCCCCATATAAGGTCCCCTTCAGAAAATGACTCTAACGCTCATAACTGTCTAAAAGAAGCACCTATAGCGATGAAATATATTTTATAGAAACCTAAATCACTTTGTAAAATTGTATAAGGATCGGTTCATAATTGACCCTACTCCCAATATAAGGTCCCCTTCAGAAAATGGCTTTAACGCTCATTACCAGCCTAAACTAAAATCGTTCTAGAAAATTTGACGAGGATCGGTCCATAATTTACCAAATACCATAATTGTTTTGATAATAACAAAAGCATCTATTCTTAAATATCAAAGTTTATTTATAAGGAAGCATTCCTTTTCGGCACAGCCGGTGGTACATTTTCTCCTAAATTTCAATCTTAGTATATTATCCTAAATGCTCAATCACAGGATTCTAACTGATATACGAATTTTGTTATTTACCTATGTATAAGGAGGAAGGTAGGTGGTTAAATATGAACCGATTCTCATAAAATTTTAAGGATGGATTAGTATTTATATAAACATTAGTTATGGTGAATTTCAACGCGATAGGCTGGTGTTATAAAAATGGTTCAAAAAGTGTTAGCTAAAATCAAAAAATTTCGTTTCTTCATTGGTCTTAGATTTTTTCATCCTTGCTTTAAGTACAGATCTAATGTTAGTAACAATCGCCTGAATCCTTAATAAATATAAAATTATGCGTATAAAGTGTAAAAATAAAAAAAAATCCTCAAATGTCAAAACAATGTATTTAACTTTGCAACAAATAAGAAGAAAACAACAGTAAAAATATTAATTTAATTCTCTTGTTTTTTTTTATTATTTTCAGTCACCTGTAAAATGTCGTTCAGCCAGGTGTTTAAATAATTCCAGTATTAAAAGAAAAGGGGAAAAGTGTTAAATAAGCCCTAAGAACAGGCACATGTATGCAATATTTGGAAGAAAAACAACAACAAGTAGATAACAACAAAAACATTTTTAAAACATTAAATTTTTTTGAAAACAGCAGACAAACATAAAAAGGATTTAACCCTTTAAAAATAAACACTATATAATTATATGTCTTTAAAAGGATATCTGATACAATAAGATAAATCTACAAAAGGCCCAAACACCATACACTAACAACGAAGTCTTTAAAAAAATACACAGTAATGGATGAGTTTCCCGTTGTAAGAGTATCACCTGATGAAATACTGGAGGAAGAAGAGTTTGGTAAGGACAAAACATTTTTATATTTTATAATTTATTAATCAAAAACAAAGATCAAACAGTGAGTACCTGCTGGACTGTTGTAATATTTTGAAATGGTTTCATTTTATAACAATTACATTTATCTTTCTTGTTGAACATGAAAAATTGCATTCCTCTTTTTTTTTGTCGTTTCTAAGTACCATATCAAAATACCTTAATAATATACAATATTTGTATAACAGCTATGGGATTTCATTGAAAACCTATGTATCCCTCAAAACAATACGGTTTGAGCTTTAGCAACTGTTATTACATTTCATTAAAGTAAACCAATCTGGTTACTTTTCAGCACTTCTTGAAGAAGTTTAGTTGTTATATGTACATAAAATATACACACACACACACACATTTGCTGCTTTGCTACTTAGAAAAAAATGTATTAATATTTTTGAATAGCAAATTCTATATGTGTTTTTAATACTTTTTTTTTCATAAAACGACTTTATGAAAGAATAATATTCCAAAAATGTAGCTTTGAATAAAACAAACTTCAATTTAAGAGGTTTGTCGTTGAAGGCTTTTGTTTGTTAGGTGGGTCAATCTATTGTTCATACATAAAGAAATTGGATTCATTGTGACAACCGAATTTATTGCTTATCGAACTTTGTCAGTTACATAGATTTAGTATAATGGACAGTGGAACAATTGAATGCTAAATCTTTAATTAATAATTTCCTAGAATTCCAGTTTAAATTACATACATTCATTAAAAGAACTTGTGTGTGTCATATACATTAGAGTGTCCCGATGAACAGCGTTTTTAAGAATCTCATGTAGGAACATCTCTCAATCGAGCATATTAATGTACTCAATATAAAAAACATCAAAAAAATATTTTTTTTGGAACAGTCGACCGACTGATGACCTCGTATTCCTCCATAAAAGTGGTCCAGGGGCCACCCTAATGAATATTCTATTATGAAATTGATTTGTCCGAAAACAATAATAAAATGAAAATACCTTCAACAGGTTATAAGAAAATCTAGACTATAGCCTAGACTACAGACTAGACTAGACTAGACTAGACTAGACTATAGACTAGACTATAGACTAGACTATAGACTAGACTATAGACTAGACTATAGACTAGTTAGACTAGACTATAGACTAGACTATAGACTAGACTATAGACTAGACTATAGACTAGACTATAGACTAGACTATAGACTAGACTATAGACTAGACTATAGACTAGACTATAGACTAGACTATAGACTAGACTATAGACTAGACTATAGACTAGACTATAGACTAGACTATAGACTAGTCTATAGACTAGACTATAGACTAGACTATAGACTAGACTATAGACTAGACTATAGACTAGACTATAGACTAGACTATAGACTAGACTATAGACTAGACTATAGACTAGACTATAGACTAGACTATAGACTAGACTATAGACTAGACTATAGACTAGACTATAGACTAGACTATAGACTAGACTATAGACTAGACTATAGACTAGACTATAGACTAGACTATAGACTAGACTATAGACTAGACTATAGACTAGACTATAGACTAGACTATAGACTAGACTATAGACTAGACTAGACTAGACTATAGACTAGACTATAGACTAGACTATAGACTAGACTATAGACTAGACTATAGACTAGACTATAGACTAGACTATAGACTAGACTATAGACTAGACTATAGACTAGACTATAGACTAGACTATAGACTAGACTATAGACTAGACTATAGACTAGACTATAGACTAGACTATAGACTAGACTATAGACTAGACTATAGACTAGACTATAGACTAGACTATAGACTAGACTATAGACTAGACTATAGACTAGACTATAGACTAGACTATAGACTAGACTATAGACTAGACTATAGACTAGACTATAGACTAGACTATAGACTAGACTATAGACTAGACTATAGACTAGACTATAGACTAGACTATAGACTAGACTATAGACTAGACTATAGACTAGACTATAGACTAGACTATAGACTAGACTATAGACTAGACTATAGACTAGACTATAGACTAGACTATAGACTAGACTATAGACTAGACTATAGACTAGACTATAGACTAGACTATAGACTAGACTATAGACTAGACTATAGACTAGACTATAGACTAGACTATAGACTAGACTATAGACTAGACTATAGACTAGACTATAGACTAGACTATAGACTAGACTATAGACTAGACTATAGACTAGACTATAGACTAGACTATAGACTAGACTAGTAGACTAGACTATAGACTAGACTATAGACTAGACTATAGACTAGACTATAGACTAGACTATAGACTAGACTATAGACTAGACTATAGACTAGACTATAGACTAGACTATAGACTAGACTATAGACTAGACTATAGACTAGACTATAGACTAGACTATAGACTAGACTATAGACTAGACTATAGACTAGACTATAGACTAGACTATAGACTAGACTATAGACTAGACTATAGACTAGACTATAGACTAGACTATAGACTAGACTATAGACTAGACTATAGACTAGACTATAGACTAGACTATAGACTAGACTATAGACTAGACTATAGACTAGACTATAGACTAGACTATAGACTAGACTATAGACTAGACTATAGACTAGACTATAGACTAGACTATAGACTAGACTATAGACTAGACTATAGACTAGACTATAGACTAGACTATAGACTAGACTATAGACTAGACTATAGACTAGACTATAGACTAGACTATAGACTAGACTATAGACTAGACTATAGACTAGACTATAGACTAGACTATAGACTAGACTATAGACTAGACTATAGACTAGACTATAGACTAGACTATAGACTAGACTATAGACCTAGACTATAGACTAGACTATAGACTAGAACTATAGACTAGAACTATAGACTAGACTATAGACTAGACTATAGACTAGACTATAGACTAGACTATAGACTAGACTATAGACTAGACTAAGACTAGACTATAGACTAGACTATAGACTAGACATAGACTAGAGACTAGACTAGACCTATAGACTAGACTATAGACTAGACTATAGACTAGACTATAGACTAGACTAGACTAGACTATAGACTAGACTATAGACTAGACTATAGACTAGACTATAGACTAGACTATAGACTAGACTATAGACTAGAACTATAGACTAGACTATAGACTAGACTATAGACTAGACTATAGACTAGACTAAGACTAGACTAGAGACTAGACTATAGACTAGACTATAGACAGACTATGACTAGACTATGACTAGACTATAGACTAGACTATAGACTAGACTATAGACTAGACTATAGACTAGACTATAGACTAGACTATAGGACTAGACTATAGATACTAGACTATAGACTAGACTATAGACTAGACTATAGACTAGACTATAGACTAGACTATAGACTAGACTATAGACTAGACTATAGACTAGACTATAGACTAGACTATAGACTGACTATAGACTAGACTATAGACTAGACTATAGACTAGACTATAGACTAGACTATAGACTAGACTATAAACTAGACTATAAACTAGACTATAGACTAGACTATAGACTAGACTATAGACTAGACTATAAACTAGACTGTAGACTAGACTATATACTAGACTATAGACTAGACTATAGACTAGACTATAGACTAGACTATAGACTAGACTATAGACTAGACTATAGACTAGACTATAGACTAGACTATGGACTAGACTATAGACTAGACTATAGACTAGACTATAGACTAGACTATAGACTAGACTATAGACTAGACTATAGACTAGACTATAGACTAGACTATAGACTAGACTATAGACTAGACTATAGACTAGACTAGACTAGACTATAGACTAGCTAGACTAGACTATAGACTAGACTATAGACTAGACTAAGCTAGACTATAGACTAGACTATAGACGTAGACCTAGCTAGACTATAGACTACTATAGACTAGACTATAGGCTAGACTATAGACTAGACTATAGACTAGACTATAGACTAGACTATAGACTAGACTATAGACTAGACTATATACTATATTACAGACTATAGTATTAGTCTTTCTCTGAAAAGCTTTCGGAAAGCTTAATAACTTCTTTTTCGTTGTGAATCTGACCAAGAAATATTGAATCCAGAATTAAATCGGACTATATTTGATAATATCTCTATAGCTCTTAGAAACTTTTTCAGTTAAATATTAAAGAATTATAACCCACAGTGCAATCTTTGCACAAAATAATAATAAAAATACATATGTTTGTATGTTCGCCACCACGACTATTGAGAAATAAGGGAATAATTTGAGCATATTTTGGCATGTTAAAAAAACACCAAACAATAATCTATAAATAGCATTATGAGCTTTAGCAGCTGCTGTTTTGGGTTGTCAAGAGATTTGTTTTTTGAATTGTACTATTTTGTTACTAGACTGGTAGTAAATCCCTTTTTTGTTCTGTAACAATTTAATGCAACTTGAATTATGAGTAATGATATCAAAACGAAATATTAAAACACCCTAAGATAAGTTAGTTAGGTATCCTATCATACATAAATAGTTTAGTATGATGAAAGCTCAAATAAAGCTAATTGGATAAATGGTTGCTATCAATTGTCATAAATAAGTATAGGTAGTCTACTATAGGTAATAAAATAGTCTACGCTTTACGATAAATTTACAATTGATGATAATAATGTGTTAGAATACCAGCATAATGATAAAAATCGTTAATTGAAAGAGGCCCTAATTTATAGCTATTGATATGTCAAATTAACCGTTGATTGCTTAAAATGTAGAGTGAAAGAAGAATCCCAACTTTTAACATTTTAACAGGAATTATAACTATATTGTGAATATGTAATAATTCGATTTAAGATGTTGTAAATAATATTAAGCGTACATGATTTTTACTAATCGGATAGTGAGAGAGTGAAAATAACACATATTGCACAGTTCTTGCTGGAGGTGTAAGAACTAACATATCCCTATTTATCAATACCAACCAATCAGTGATTTCCCTACGAAAGGTCACGTTAATCTATGAATACTAAATCTTTACAAATTGCCTATGGCAAGTTCTATTATTTATGTATTTCTTATGTCTGCATTACAATTGTAATTCTTAAATGTTTGATGATACTTTGCTGTCTAAATCAACCAAAACAAATTATTGGTTTGCACTTGAATTTGGACAAAAATTTACGAGTTCCTATCTCCTTCGAAATTTGATTTATATTTACTTTTACCAAACACTTTGGACAAACCACTTTATTGTATTAAATTTTGTTCTAATTTATACTCAATATTTTCATATTTATGTGTCTGACAAAAAACACAACCATTATGTACAAAATAACAGCATAAATAACAAAAAAACGTTTACTTAAAATATGAAAATTTAAAACGTTTTGCTTCAACCAAATGTTCCTTTTTTAAATTCTTTTGAAGTTGATATTCAAGAAACCCACAAGTCGTATGAGTACCATTGAAAAGGTTGTTTGAACTTTGTGTTTAAATAAAAACATAATTCCACAAAACCGACTTCAATTACATTTTTAAGAGGCCAATCAAATAATTTTTAATATTTTAAATTTTTATCAAAAAACAAAAATACAATATTCATTATTTGTAATTTTAGAGAGTCCATTTAAAAATTGTATACAATAGCTACAAGTACCAGTAGATTGAAAGCTATTTGCAGCTTCCACCTTTAGTAGCAGCAGCAGCAAATTTTGTGACATTTTTTTTATAACTGTTTGGTTGTAAACAAAATCTGCTTACTGTACATTTTATTTTGTGAGTGAAAATTTACTTTTTTCTATATAGATTTGCTGTGTGTTTTTTATACATTTTCTAATAAACATTTATGTAAGAAAAACCGTGACACCATCATTGTGGTTTATGGGTGGAATGTGTTTAAATATCATGGTTGTAAATATTTAAGATGTGTGTTCTTTTGTTCTGTTGGGGGACATTTATTTATTTACCATGTGAAAATATAGTTAGTATCATTTTTATGATTTAATGTTAAACAGTTTTTGAGTGAGGGATTTTAACAAACATACATATGTATGTACATAGAAAGTTCCAAATTCATAGTCTAAATCTGTTGCTAACTTCTTCTTAATTTCAAAACGACCATTCACTGATGTAAATAGTAACAACATATTAAGACTTTAGGGACTTTCTTAATTTGTGGTTAATTACACATTTCCAGGACTATTATTAATTTCATCAAAGACTATTAAAACGCTTCCTTTTTAGAACTATAGACTGGTATATAGGCAAGACTATAGGTTGGTCTATAGTCATAGACTGGCTTATAGTCAAGTCTGTATAATCGTTTATAGTAAAGACTACAGAATCGTCTATAGTCCAGACTATAGAATCGTCAATAGTCCAGACTTTAGAATCGTCTATAGTCAAGAAAATAGACTGGACTATAGTCAAGACAATCGAATGGTCTATAGTCAAGACAATCGAATGGTCTATAGTCAAGACTATAGACTGGTCTATAGTTAAGACTATAAGACTAGTCTATAATCAAGACTATAAGACTGGTCTATTGTCAAGACTACAGACTGGTCTATGGTCAAGACTATAGACTGGACTATAGTCAAGACTATAAACTGGTCTATAGTCAAGACTATAGACTGGCATATAGTCAATACTATAGACTGGTCTATAGTCAAGACCATAGACTGGTCTATAGTCAAGACTATAGACCGTTCTATAGTCAAGACTATAGACTGTTCTATAGTCAAAACTATAGACTGTTCTATAGACTATAGACTGGTCTATAGTCAAGACTATAAGCTGGCTGATCAATAGTCAAGACTATAGACTAGCGTATAGTCAAGACTATAAGCTGGCTGATGTATAGTCAAGCCTATAGACTAGTTTATAGTCAATACTATAGAATGGTCTATAGACTGGACTATAGTCAAGACTATAGATTGGACTGTAGTCAAGACTATAGATTAGACTGTAGTCAAGACTATAGACTGCTCTATGGTCAAGACTATACACTGGCCTATAGTCAATATTATAGACTGATCTATAGTCAACACTATAAGCTGGCTGATTTATAGTCAAGACTATAAACTATAGTCAAGAATATAAGCTGGCTGATCTATAGGCTGATCTGTAGTCAAGCCTATAGACTAGTTTATAGTCAATACTACAGACTGGACTATAGTCAAGACTATAGACTGGTCTATAATCTAGACTATAGACTTGTCTATGGTCATATAGACTAGTCTATAGTCAAGACTATAGACTTGTCTATGGTCAAGACTATAGACTTTTCTATGGTCAAGAATATAGGCTTGTCTATGGTCAAGACTTTAGACTTGACTATTGTCAAGACTATAGACTATTCTATAGTCAAGTCTATAATTTTGAGTATGGTCCAGACTATAGTGTTGACTATTGACCTATCTTGCCTATAGGCCAGTATATAGGCCAGTCTATAAACTAGTCTATAGTCGATACTACAGGCTAGTCTATAGTTTATACTAGTGGCCAGTCTATATTCGACACTACAGATCCATCTATCGTCTTAAAATAAATGGAAAATATGAATAAACATTTTACATTTCACTTATATACTTCCAGAACGTCTGTACTCTGCCCCGGTAGAAATTATAGTGTTGCTATCAATTTTCTATGGCAGCATAAGTATACTCGCAATAATCGGCAACACATTGGTCATATGGGTGGTGGCAACCACGCGACAAATGCGCACCGTAACCAATATGTATATAGCAAATTTGGCATTTGCCGATGTAATTATTGGGCTATTTTGTGTACCATTTCAGGTATGTAAAATTACTAGCTTTAAGTAACAATTATAATTTATTTAGTCTGGTCGTTTTGTCAGCAAATTTACACCCATAAATTTTATGAATGAAATGAATAATAATTTGTTAAAAATAATAATAATAATAAAAACATATACAACAAGTACAAGACAGACACACAGATGATGCAACAAACAAAAACATATATTTTTGTTTTAATATTGAGCAGCAACTCAAAGTCTGCCAGTCATCAACATACAACATACAATTCATGCTAAAAGATTTTAGTAATAAAACAGAGAAAATTATTTTTTTTTTCATTTTTTTATGAAAAATAATAATAAATAAAACATAAATAATGAGATGGATGTTGTTTACATTTGTGTATGAGTGTACACGATTTTTTAATTTAAATGTAAATAATTTATTTTGTTTCAGGGTGTTGAAGCAACATTTGTTAGTTGGATTCATATGTATTTTGGCAATTGGTTTTGGACTTAGAAAATATATTTTCCAAATCTTAAGATATTTATTTACCCCTCATGCTAAACATTTCATTTTAAGACATTAACAAAATTCATATAAATATTAATTTATGTTTCTACATTTTGAGCACTTTTAAATTTGTGTGCTTGTTTGTTTGCTTTTATGTTTTGTTGCGTATATTTTCTTATATTTTTAATATAATTTTTTTAGTCGTAGACCAAGACACATGCCAACACATTCCATTCTTTATTTTATTACTGCTGCTGCTGCTGTTATTAAGGAATTTTCAAAAATAACCCCTGCAAAATTTAAAACACATGTCAAAGTATTTCTTTGCATATTTTAGCCCCCGCCACTTTGACATGAATCAGAATGAATTATTCTTCTTCTTTTAGTTGTGTTTTTATTAAAGAATGAAACCAACAAAAAACGACTTTTTTACAATTGCAGATGAAAACTTAGAAAATTGTTTGTAAGAAAATGTGTCAACAATTTAAAAGAATAATGAGCATTGCAATTAATTAGAAATTCAACACCAGTCGGTGGAACCTATTTTATTGGCAGATGTGTGCGTAAAATGTGTATTTTACATGTGTCTGTGGTACAACACCCTGCAGTGCGACAAAGTGTAAATGCATCCGAAAAAGACAGTGATTTCTAAAAAAGTCTAATCACCTGGTTGGCTCTAATTCGTCTTTCGTCACTGATGTAGTCTTTGTAAACGATGGTGAAGATAATCGTCACTTTAGTATTCCATTTGTAAGCGAGAGAGGGGACACTTACAAAGCACTTGTCTGCCTCTTCGTAACCTACGGGGTGACGATTGACTTCCTCGTAGGACAAGCACATGTTAAAATAAGTAGTCACCTGGACAGTCGGTGGCTAGGTGTAACCCTAAGAGTTAGGTTAAATAGGGAGTTCGGGCCTATCCGACCGAACTGCTGGGAATATATAATTATGTGTTAATATGTGACTCAAAGAAACTTTATACCATTGTAATATAAAGTTTGTCAAAATAATATTCTTAATAAACCTTAACATCTAATGATTATTAAAATATCCTCCGTAGATAAATTTATCAGATTTATCGCTACAGAATGATGTTGGGGGACCAATATCAGATAATTTCAGAACAATATCAATTATTTTAGAGATTATTAGACCTTAAAGCGAAAATATATAGAGTACACTTTCATTTCTAAATAGTTATAGTGTATACATATACATATATACATATGTATGTATATCTTTTGTAGATCAGAGCACTTTGCTATTGAAATGATTTTATTCCTTTATTTCTTTTATATTTCCAGTTTCAAGCTGCCTTATTACAGCGTTGGAATCTACCCTGGTTTATGTGTGGTTTTTGCCCCTTTGTACAGGCATTAAGTGTTAATGTATCTGTATTTACCCTAACGGCAATTGCGGTAGATCGTCATCGTGCCATAATAAATCCCTTAAGGTATGAAATATTTAATCACAATAAAATCTCTTTTAGCAATTAAAAGTTTATTAACTTACTTTTGTTATATACATAAATAATTAATTTGGCAAAATTGTTAACTACACTTATAATATGTAGTTTGTTTCATAAAATTTGTAATTCTAAAACAAGAAAGAGAACCAACCCCCTTCAGAGTGAAATTTCCCTTTTTTTCTAAGGAAATGAACGAGACTTTTTATCTAAAAAAGTCTCTATGGTTGAGCCATTTTCTTAAGAAAAGTTGTTTTCTTCGAGGATGTTTTCTTTAGAAAAATTGTCTCTTTCGATGAGTCTTTTTCTACAGAAAAACTGACTCCTTCAATGAGATTTTTGCTTAAGAGAAGTGTCTCTTTGGTGAGACTTTTTTTTATAGAAAGAAAGTAGGTCCTTTGATGAGACATTTTCTTTAGAAAGGGGGTTTCTTCGACAAAACGTTTTCTATAGAAAAAGTGTCTACTTCGATGAGATACTTTTTCATTACAAAGGTTCTCTTTGCGTGGGACACTTTCTATAGAAAAATGACTTTTATTGTGAAACCTTTCCTATAGAAAATGTGTCTTTTTGGATGACGCTTTTTCTGTAGAAAAAATAGTCTTATTGGATAAGACTGTTTCTTTAGGAAATGTGTCTCTTTGGATGAGATTTTTTTTTTTTAAAAGTGCCTTATTGGATAAACGGTTTCTTTGGATGAGACTTTTTCTATAGAAAATTTGTCTCTTTTGATGAGACTTTTTCTATTGAAAAAGTGTCTCTTTTGATGAGACTTTTTCTATTGAAAAAGTGTCTCTGTAGATAAGACTTTTCTATGGAGAAAGTGTCTCTATAGGAGAGACTTTTTCTATAGAAAAAGTATTTCTTTGGAAGAGACTTTTTCTATAGAAAAAGTATCTCTTTGGAAGAGACTTTTTCTATAGAAAAAGTTTCTCTTTGGAAGCGACTTTTCTATAGAAAAAGTATCTCTTTGGAAGAGACTTTTTCTGTATAAAATTTTATTATTTTATAGAAAAAGTGTTTCTATTGAGAGAATCTTTCTATCGAAAATAGTCCTCTTCGGGATAGAGAGTATTTTTACATGAAAAGTGCCTCCCTGGGGGAGAGTATTTCTATAGGATAAGTGTCTCAATGGAAGAGAGTATTGCTATAGAAAGTGTCTTAATGGAAGAGAGTATTTCTATATATAAAGTGTCTTCCTGGGAGGGAGTATTTCTATTGAAAATGTATCTTTTTGGGATAGTTTATTTCAGACAGAGAATTTCTATAGAAACGTGCCTCCCTGGGAGAATGTATGTATTTTTATGTAAAACGTGTTTCCCTAGGAGAGAGTATTTCTACATAAAAAGAGTCTCCCTGGGAGAGAGTATTTCTATATATAAAGTGTCTTAATGGTAGAGAGTATTTCTATAGAATAGATATCTTTTTGGGAGAGTTTATTTCAGACAGAGTATTTCTATAGAAACGTGCCTCCCTGGGAGAATGTATTTTTATGTAAAACGTCCTTCCCTAGGAGAGAGTATTTCTATATAAAAAGTGTCTCCCTGTTAGAGAGTATTTCTATACATAAAGTGTCTTCCAGGTTGGAGTATTCCCATAGAAAAAGTGTCTCCCTGGGAGAGCGTATTATTATGTAAAAAGCGTCTCCCTAGGAGAGAGTATTTCTATAGAAAAAATGCCTTTCTGGGAGACAGTTTTTCTAGAGAAGAAGTGTCTCTCTGGGAGAGAGTATTCCTAGAGAAAAAGTGTCTCTCTGTGAGAGAGTATTTCTATGGGAAAATACCCTCTTTGATAAAGTTTTTCTATATAAAAAGTATGTCTCTGGGATAGATTTTTTTTCTATTAAACAATTTTCTGCCTCAGCTAGAGTTTTTCTATAGAATAATTGTTTTCCTGAGTAATAGTTTTTTTATAGAAGAAGCGCATATAATAAAAGTTTTTTTGAAGAAGAAGTGTTTCCATGCTTAAGGTTTTTTGTAAAAAAAAACTTTTACTCATTTCACAACAGACCTCTGTTCTTCTTTTTAAATATATTTAACGACTTCTTTTAAATAATGCAAAATTTAACAACAACTTGCTCTTATTTTGATTGCTTCTTTAATGGCTAATTTTGTAAAATTAATTTAAATGACAATTTTATGGAATATAATTAAATTATCATTTCTATTTGCAGAGCTCGTCCCACAAAATTCGCCTCGAAATTTATCATCGGTTGTATTTGGTTGATTGCATTCACCTTTGCCGTACCCTGTGCAATAGCATTTCGCGTGGAGGAAGTTCATGAACGTATAAAAGGTATAAATAGCAAAATTACATTTTTTTGTTCAACTAAATAAATAGCGAAAACTTTAATAAACAAATAAATAAAAATTATAATGACAAACAGAGAGAATTTGACATAATCTTCATTTACTGAGTCCAATATAATTTACATATTTCATTTGTAATTTTACAGAAAACGGAATCGTCTCCAATGTGACAAGACCATTTTGTACGAATGTTAATTTGTCTGAGTATCAACTACAGTCATATCGTTATACTTTGGTATTTGCACAATATTTGGTACCATTTTGCGTCATCAGTTTTGTCTATATACAAATGACTATTAGATTGTGGGGTACCCGTGCTCCTGGTAATGCTCAAGACTCACGAGACATTACACTGCTAAAGAATAAGAAAAAGGTAAGGATGAATGGTTGGATGGTTGTATGGATGGATGTACTTTTGCAAATATAAATTCAATTTAATGAAAGTCTCTGTACGTGTTGGTGATAAAGTCGGTGTTATTTTTGTTTTTTTATTATTATCCTTTGACTTATTTTAATAATGTTTTGTTTTATTTGTTTTGTGTGTCTTGTTTTTTTTCAGGTTATAAAAATGTTGATTATTGTTGTCGTGGTGTTTGGTCTCTGCTGGCTGCCTTTACAGTTGTACAACATTTTGTATGTAACAATACCGGAAATAAACGAATATCATTTCATAAGTATTATCTGGTTTTGCTGCGATTGGTTGGCCATGAGCAATAGTTGTTATAACCCCTTCATCTATGGCATTTATAATGTAAGTAAAGATTTTGTTAAATCTTTTGCCAAAACTTTGTCATAGGCTTACTTATCCAACCACAGATAACAAAAAACAATAAAATATTGGCATTGAAAAAGTTTTGTGAAAAATGGTTTGAGAAAAAATTAAAAATAAAATTTTAATTTTCTTTTTAATAACAAATGTCTCCAAAAGTTCCGTTTTAATTTAAATTTATATTCCACATAATTTAAGTTAAAACATTAGCGGCAAAAAGGAATGTTTATTTATAATGAAGAGACAGAGAAGAATTTTATGTTTCCGGACAAAATTCAAATGTTATGGGCGGTTTCATGGGCGGTGTTATTAAATGAAATCATTTGAAATACACATACATATGTATGCATTAGAGTTTTTTTAAATATTTAAAACCAACATCTCCAAAGGATATAGAGCCCCTTCAAGCAGACGCTTCTTTTATAGAAAAACTCTCTCCCAGACTATTTTCCTATATATAAACTGTCCCGGGAGGAACTTCTTCCATAGAAAATCTCTACAAATACAATTTTTATATAGAAAACATTCTTCTTCAATAGAAAACTCTCTCATAAGAAGATACTTTTTTGTTATAGAAAAACTCTTTCCCAAATAGAGAATTTTTCCATAGACAATTTTTCTATAGAAAAAAACTATTTCTCAAATAGAAAATTTTTCTATTAAAAAAAAACTACAGAAAAATCTCTCTCAATTTTCTATAGAAAATATTTCTCAGAGATAATATGGAAAAACTCTCTTCTGTAGAAAAAAATCTCCCAAAGATCTTCAAAATGTTCTCCCAAGGAGAAATTGTTTCTTTAGAAAAACCGTCTCACGAAGCTATACTTCGTCTCTCCCAATGAAATACTTTTCCGCTAAAAAAAACTCTCTCCGAATGAGATGCTTTTTCTGTGGAAAAAACACTTTTTCTATAGAGGAACTCTTGCACTTTTTCTCCTAAATAGACACATTTTCTCTAAAAAACTCTATCCCGAAGAGATTCAATTTTACCATGGAAAAAACTCTTTTATATAGGAAAAAAACTGTCCCAATGTGTAAGTTTTTCCTATAGAAAAAACTCTCTCCAAAAAGAGACATTTTTTTCATAAAAAACTTTTTCCAAAAGAGACATTTTTTTCTTCAGATAAACTGTCTCCCGAAGATATACTTTTTCTAAAGAAAAAGTCACTCCTAAAGAAATACTTTTTCTATAGAAAAATATTCTCCCAATGAGATGCTTCTTCTAAAGAAAAAACTTTTTTCCAATGAGACACTTTCTATAGAAAAACTCTCTCTTAAGGAGACATTTTTTCCATAGAAAAAATTTTTCTTAAGGAGACACTTTTTTTTATAGAAAAGACTATCTCTATAGAAAAACACTCTTAAGTAGACACCCTTTCTAAAAAAGAACTCTCTCTTAAGGAAACACTTTTTCGATAGAAAAACTCTATATTAAGGAGACAATTTTTCTATAGAAAAACTCTCTCTTAAAGAGACACTTTTTCTATAGAAAAACTCTCTCTTTAAGAGACACTTTTTCTATAGAAAAACTCTCTCTTTAAGAGACACTTTTTCTATAGAAAAACTCTCTCTTAAGGAAACACTTTTACTGTCTCTTATGGAGACACTTTTTCTATAGAAAAACTCTCTCTTAAGGTAAAACTTTTTTATACAAAACTCTCTCTTAATAAGACTGTTTTTCTCTAGAAAAACTCTTTTCTATGGAAAAACTCTCTTTTAAGGAGACACTTTTTCTACAGAAAAACTCTCTCTTAAAGTAAAACTTTTTCTATAGAAAAAGTCTCTCTTAGGAAGACAGTTTTTCTCTAAAAAAAAAAACACTCTTCCAAGGAGATCCCAAGATGCTACTTTCTACAGAATAACTCTCTCTTTCTTAATAGACAATTTTCTCACATACACACATTCCCACATATGTATTTAAAATGTACGTTTTCCTTATATAATACTTATTTCTCTTATCTGATTCCAGGAAAAATTCAAACGTGAATTTAACAAACGTTTTGCCGTATGCTTCTGTCGTTTTCAAACCAGCATTGATGCTAACGAACGTACTCTCTCCATGCACACGAGAGCAAGTTCACTACGATCAACTTATGGACAAACGCAAATGCGTTTGAGAGGCAATACATTTAATGGCAGTACTCATAGTCATCATCGTGCCTCTCTAAAAGCAGCAGCGGCAGCAGCAAATAAACATGAAAGTCTTAATTCTAATCATGCAGAAGGAACAACAATTCTTCTAAATAACTATGGAAATTCCAATAATAATCACGAAAGCTCAAATAATCATAAAATGTCTTGGCAGAGAAATAATTTTAAACCTTTACATCCCGAACTAATCGAATACGATGGTGATGAAGATCAAAGTTTAATAGAAGAGAAAATTCAGCTACCAGTCATTACTAATTCTAATGTAGAGTTTAGAAATTTAGAACAACCATTAAAAGATACAGTTTTCGGTGGTCGTGAGTTAATGGCAAATGATAGAACGATAAATTGAAATAGAATGGAAATATGAAGAGTTTATTTTTAATGGTTCTCCGCCTCCTTAAAGCTGTGATGTTAGAAAATCAAACTGTACATACAAATACAACTGAATTTAAATTTCTTTATCAATATTTTTTCTTAAGCACACTTTTGTCATTTTTTCTAAACTCTAGTCAATATATGATGATCTGCCATTAAAACAAGCAACCTTCAACAACAAAATTTTCCTAAAAATATATTAAAACTATAATAGGTTTCTGAACACAAATGACCAATTACATAACTAGTTCTGAGTATGTTGTTTTTATGTTTCTTTAAGATTTAAGGAATAATCTTCATTTAAGAATTTTTTACGCTTGTGAAGATTATTAACATTTTCAAAAACCTAGGTTGAATGTTTCAAATAATACACCGAAAAAAATAAAGAGTTAGTGTGCAATAAAAAATATCAAGTACAGTTAAATTTTTGATTTTAATTATTTAATAGATTAGTTTAAGTGTCATATTTAAATGTATTTACAACAAATGATCAGTATTAAAATTAAATATAAATAATTGTATTTAGTATTTATTATTAGATATTTATTTAAGTGTTTTCTTTCGTAAGTTTTAATTTGAACATTAAACAGCTGTAAATAGTTATAATGTAATTTTGTTTTAATGTATTTAAAGTGTAGGATAAAGTTTTTTTTTTTAAGAATCTCTAAATAAAAAATAATTTAATTATACAATTGATGTTGTTTTTGAATTAATAAACAAATAATTAACTTCTAAAGGCCTTATTAATAACAATTTATAAAAGTTTAAAAAAAAAATATTATATGAAAATTTGTTTTATAAACCTTTGATAAATGTTTATGAATAGGATGCTAATTGTGTTTTGAACAGATAATTTGGGAAAACTACATCACCAACAAACACTTTTTTTATAAAAAATTCAGAAATTTTCATTCAAAATCATTTTCCGTCAAATGTCCAATTTTTTTCGATTATATTACATTTTCGAAAAAATTCGAATTTTAAACAAAAATCAGATTTTTTTTTAATAAAACGTGGATTTTGCAATAAAAGTAGAATTTTAATTCAAAAATATTTTTTCAATAAAAAATAAAATTCAGATCAATTTGTACAAAAAAAAACTATTTTTACTAAAAACCTAATGCTTCTAAATTAATAGTTTTTTTAAGTAATATAATTTTCATCAAAAGATAATATTCCTTTAAAAAATCAAATATTATTAACAAAATGCTTTTCCCAAAGAAATCGATTATTTACAAGAAAATTATATCAATGCACTTTCCATCCCTGGTTTATTCAATTCACTTTTGCGCATGCCTTCCACAATATTTTTAATGGCGCCATCTATTGTACACAAATATACTATAGAAATTTTCAAGCTTTTTTATTGTTGAAAAGCTCCACAATTTTAAGCTAAGACTACAACCAAATGTAGTAAGCTTTAACATAACGTCACATGGTATAAAAAAGCTTTAATGATGAAAGCTATTTTCCCAAAATAAATAGTGTTGCCAGGTTTATTCCATAAATTTGTAAATTAAAAAAATTTGGCAAAATGAAAAATTTTAAATTTAGAAATCTTGGTTTACGATCCACTTGAGAAGTTTACATGTCACTGATCACTGGTCACTATACATGTAGTCAAAGTGTTTTGGCCGAAGTTGGACTTTATTAAGCGAATTCAAAAATGATGGGATCTTGTTTACAATGTATTGACATGTCCCGGGACTATCAGGTTTACTCGCGGATGACGAACTTTAAGTTAGTCAGTTAGTTAGTTAGTTAGTTAGTTAGTTAGTTAGTTAGTTAGTTAGTTAGTTAGTTAGTTAGTTAGTTAGTTAGTTAGTTAGTTAGTTAGTTAGTTAGTTAGTTAGTTAGTTAGTTAGTTAGTTAGTTAGTTAGTTAGTTAGTTAGTTAGTTAGTTAGTTAGTTAGTTAGTTAGTTAGTAGTTAGTTAGTTAGTTAGTTAGTTAGTTAGTTAGTTTTGTAGTTAGTTAGTTAGTTAGTTAGTTAGTTAGTTAGTTAGTTAGTTAGTTAGTTAGTAGTTAGTTTTAGTTAGTTAGTTAGTTAGTTAGTTAGTGTTAGTTAGTTAGTTAGTTAGTTAGTTAGTTAGTTAGTTAGTTGTTAGTTAGTTAGTTAGTTAGTTAGTTAGTTAGTTAGTTAGTTAGTTAGTTAGTTAGTTAGTTAGTTAGTTATAGTTAGTTAGTTAGTTAGTTGTTAGTGCCTCAGTTGGTTAATCAGACTAGAGCTACTAACCTACCAGAGGGCACAGCATTTTATTAGGTCTGACTTCGCCTTTTTGGCTAAGCCACTGCGATAACATTTTTATTGACATTCATTCTTTTTTGGAAAAGATAATAAATAAATTTCTTAGTTAACATTAAAAATAATTTAATTTTATTTTTAAATTAAATTCACTACATCATTACAATCAAGCACATATACACTTTATATTTGTTTCGTCATAACCTATATTTACACGGTATGTACATTTAAGCCAGTCGTGGGTATTTAGTTAAATTTCTATGTACACGTGAAAATGATGTACGTACGTACATTATGTACTACTTGTTAATATCAAATCTATGCTATACTCAATTGAACTTCGTTTCTGGCTATCTCGTATTATTGTGTTAATATAAGTGTTGTCAATCACTGGTATAAAACATTTGGTAACCACTTTCTTCTCCCACGCACGCTGAAGCCCAATATAATTGATTTCAAAATTAAAAAAAAAAAATTTAAATTATGTCAATGGAACATTTTGTGGCCAAAGGGAATGTTTTAAATTGGTGTACACAGGATGTAGGAATTGAAATAATGTAAGTTTGTATAAGCGTAACACGCACAAATACCCACATGTTGTAATATATATTTGAAAACAATACACATAAACGACTAAAGAACAGCAAGTGTTCGTGTTTCGTTCTGTTTTTTTTGAACCCACTAACAAATATTTTCACATGCACTTGTGTATGTATAAGTATTGCGGTATGAACGTCTTGCAACACGTCACTACTTCATCCATCCATACCATTCATATATTGAATTGTGGGAATTACTTGCAAGAAATCTAACTGTTATTTATTGATTAATTTATTGGTCGAATGATTGATTGTTTTGGTTAATACGCTGTTGGTATGGCGTAAGTGTGTCATTGTGTAAAAGGACATATGTTTCGATTTTCATGGCTAATCGAAAAAAGAAATAAAACAAAATATTAATAAAACTAGACATTTTTTTTTAGTTCTTGGTCATTTAATCGGAAAAGTTTCTACAGTGTGGTTCAGTTTTAAAAAGTGTTTTACTTAAAATTTAAAAGTTTCATTAAAATGGATAATTTAAATTTAAATAATGGTAAATTTAAAAATATAAACCTCCCACAGCATCTTTTAATAATAAGCCAATTTATATTTTACACATGAATATTTAGCTGATGAGCTGCTCACCAACGATAAATTGCAACACAAATCATTCTCTGTAACGTCAACGACCAGCTCATTGTCACCATCATCCATCCCACGTAAATTCTCTATGACCAACTTAAACGAATATGAAATTTGTGCAGGTACTACAACAGACGATAGTACTATGTGCAACCAAGATGGCCAACAAAATGTCATTGGTGGTACAGATGATGTCATCAGCAGGAATACTCACACGCATACTAATAGCAATGGCCAGACTGTTGATAGTAATGCCATCAAACATTCTAGCAACAAAAACTGCATCAACATCAATATCAATAACAGCAGCAGTGACAGTAAAACTCCCATCAAGGACTTTTACAAAGATGCCACCATCCTGATCACAGGTGGTACGGGTTTTGTGGGAAAAGTATTAATACAAAAATTATTGCGTGCCTTTGAAGTGCGTAAAATTTACATGTTAATACGTTGCAAAGACAACATGACTGTCGAGCAACGTTTGGAGCAGTACTTCAATGAATCGGTAAGTGCAATCAATAACAGTTTGATAAACATACCATCAGTTGTGTACGTATTTAAATTGCAAAACACCCACTTGCATTGTTGCCAGTAAGTTTATGGTTGTGTCGATTGAAAAGTTTGTAAATATTTATTCACAACGACATAAATACTTGATAGTAAATAAATATTTTGTTGTAAGTAAATGCTTTTTGTTTCTTGTTTTATAGATATTTGATACATTACGTGCTGAAAATACTCATTTGTTCGATAAAGTCTATCCGATACGTGCCAATTTTAGTGCTTTCGATCTAGATATAGCTGCTAAAGATCGTGAGTTATTGTGCAATGAAGTAACGGTAAGTAGACGTTTGAAATAAAAAATCTTATTATCGGTTAAAGGTCTTATATTATAATACGTCTAATGTTTGAAAGAACACTTCCAAAAAGTTAAGCTTTGGGAAAATATAGAAATTTGGGATCTGTAATAATAATTTTATGGATCGATTTTCCCAATATTAGGTTAGGGTTAGCTTAGATTAATAGGAGGATGTGTATACATCAGATTCGAAGAAATACACTTAGGATACTATTGTACCTGTTAATGGAAAATTTTTGTTGTCAAAAACAAAATCCTTATATAGTATTCATTGAATGTTTTATCATCAGGAACTCAGTTTCCTGGACGTAATTCCTAAGAATTTTCCAATCAGTGTTAGTTAGGAATGTTATTTCCGGAATAAGATCACTTCCAATATACTTCGACAAATGCCTGACAGTGACAAAGAAAGTGCTCCATAGTTTCACTGTCCTCTCCAAATGCTCTATATTCGCCTGAATCCGCACGTCCAATTTGTATAGATGTGCTCGTAATTCTGTGTATCCACTCAGAATATGTAACATCATACCAACCTCAGACTAGCTCATTTTAAGGAGGCTACCCTTCCTGCTCTCGTTAGTGTCGCCCCATAATATTTTTGTGGTTCTACCCACCGTTTTATTATTCCAAGGGGCCTTGTGGGTTTCTCTCACCCATATTTTTAATTCTACCCACGTTGCGTCAAGTGGTTTTGCGTTCGTCATCTTAAGTACCAGCTCCCTTTCCTTTAAAGCTATTATATTCGCTCTTTCGTTGCCGATTACTCCCGAGTGGCTTGGTTTCCATATGATGTAAATCATACCTCTGGCATTCCATTCGTAAAAATTTTACTACATTTTAAATGTTATTTCCAAGAATACCAAAGTATCCAAGGGTAGTTCAACGTCGTTCCCTTAGCAATCCCGTTAGGTTTTATCAAGAGTAGTATCCTCAGATTCTATCTTCAAAAGGGTGAAAATACACAGAGGTTAAAACCCGGTAGAAAAGTACCGACATTGATACAATTTATTGTCAAAAGTGATTTTAACACGTTTGTTAACATTTAAACAACGGATGTGTTGTTATTTTTACAACTCATTGTTGTCAATGTAGCAACGTATTGTTGTCATTTCGATAACACTTTGTTATCATTTAGACAGTGCAACGTTCTGTTTGACAACATAGCGTTGTCACTTTGGTAACACATCGTTTTCACTCCGAAAAGATACCCATATATAAATAAATAATTTAAAAAAGCCGCCACCAGTCGTAGATCGAATCTGCTTTTATGATTTAACTACGTCATGTATTATTTATATTTTGTTTGATAACGTCGTGTATTTTTGTTGTTAATTTAATAACTATCCATACATACTTTGACAACGAATGTTATTGAAAAATTATAAACACTTTGGTGGCAAATAATTACCATGCGTGTATAGTTTTAAAACGTCTTTTTTCCCTCTGGGTAGGTGGGGAAGGGGCCGAGATATTGTGTTTTGATAAAAAGTACTGATGAATCAGTAAATGATACTCACCTGATCAGTTTGGTAGTATTGAGTAGGTTTTGTAGATGCAGTTGGAGCCTTTAATAACATTAAGATTGATGTGATTAGGGATTCGCTGGTAGAGCTTGGAGTTTAAGACTTCCTGGAGAAGTGTATGGTATTCGGCAAAGACCAGACGATGTAAGATAAGAAGATATATTTTTTGGCTGCCTAAACTAAATGGCGTCGAATTAAGTGGAGCTAAGTATTTGGAAATCATCCTGGAGGAAAAATACTCAGGAAAGAATGAAAAAAGAATTCAAAAGTATCAAAGGCCTTATTTCCAAGACATGATGCAAATGCAACAATGATACTTATTGGACTGGATATGTATATGTAGTCTAAGATTTCTGACAGAGGATTTCCGGTACCGGATCTCTGCAGACAATTCGATGACGTTGAAGAGTTAGAGTCGATAAAGCACATAATTTAATATTATCTTAGATTTCAGGTTCTCAGTCAAAAATGGTTAGAAAATTGATTCTAAACTGAACTTGCAGATCCATGCATCAGTACACTGAGGTTTTTAATCATCTTTATTTTCTTCTTCTAGTTAAGTAACACAAACATTTGTCTTGAACCTTACCATCTAGAAGCTAGCATTCGAAGTTTTTATCTTCACTGTTCTTTTAGTCACTTAACAATTATTTTCCAAAAACGTGTGCATTTTATTATAATTTTCAAACGGTATTTTTCATAGAATAGGGAATTTGTTACATGTTTTGCCAGAGATCAGCAGTACTACCAAAAAGTAAGAAAAGTCGGGAGGATTTAGAATGAATCATAGTTATGTAGTTAAAACTAACCCACTAGATTTGCAAAGTTCCCAAACTCCTCGACATCGTTGCATATCAAGGTATATTAGACTTAAAGATTGTGATCTGTGGATTGTGCTGGATGATAGGTGACGATATTTGTCTTGAACTGTTGACAGTATAAATTGCACTTCTTTTCTATAGACATCTGGAGACTTACTATGCCTTCAAGATCTCAGACAAAAGTCTTATGGAAGGATTTTGCTGATATTAAATAAGAAACTTGTCGAAGGCATGTCTGATAGAATAATTGAAGATTTGGATCCCGAAGATATCTAGAGTCTTCAGACAGACGGATATGGCTTAATCGACTCCCCTTTCTATAAGGATACAGAACGTATATACTTTATAGTGTCGGAAAATTATATTGTGGAAGTTAAAAACGGAATGACAAACTTATATATACCATTCTCACCCCCGGGGCATGTTCCTTGATGAAAGACCCTCATCTTTGTGTATTGCAATCCCGGGGTAGGTGCTACCAGTACCTCTAGTCTGCCGGGACTATAAACTGGTGATATCATTTCACTCATCTGCTAGTCCTTGGAATGATTTGACAGTTACCCGCAGGACTTGTCCTGTCTGGTTAGTTGGTTGAGGTTCCTTCGGGATCCACGTTTAAACCCAAATTCGCGGGAAGAGTACGTTGTGGTTAAAAGACTGATGCATGGTGAAATCTATACTTCGGGATAAGTTCGGTGCTGTTACCGAATGACAACAGATACCCCACAGAGGAGTGACTGTGGGACTAAACGTCCGAAATGAGTTTGTGTTTAATGTATATGATACAAGATGAATGTAGGGTTATAAGGATCTCATCCGCCCGTATACCTAGAGTGAATCTGTCGTATATTGTTCTCTTATGAGTGTGTCGAATGAATGAGAAGTGTGCAGGTTTGCATGGTGATGGATGAAAGGTATCTTATGCAAGTGATACCATTGAATTTTCCTTCCTTGTCCCGGTATATTTAGAACAAACTCTATTCATAACAGATTTACAACAGTGTGTCCTCTGTGAGTAAAATGGTCAGACATTAGATAGCTCAAGTACTAGAGCAAAGTGCACGTATACTGGACCGGAAATTCCATATACGTAAATTGCCACCTGAGTGTAAGAAGCACAATGAGGCGGTGGTGAGTCGTTGTAAAAGCTCACCCTGCGGTTGAAAAAGACCACCGTGAAATAAGACCGTCAAGGCAGGTGTTTACGTAAGGTGAAGGGCATAATTAATGAAGATTGTTTAAACAGATCTAAGATAGATTCGAATCTAAGAAAGTCAGTCCTATAGCGAATGTATTACCTGATTACTGACACTATAAGCTTATATACCACTTTAGTGACTATCGCTATTTTGAATTCTAAAGCTTTTAGTTCCGCAAAGATATCGGTCATAACGATTTTGTTTCAAAAACTCTAAAACATTCGGTCTCCTCTGTTTGTATGGGTTTAAATATTAGTAAAACTTCCCCTTTTTAGTACGAATTTTTCTCTATGTTATATTTTCAATCTTGCTTTATGAAGTTCAAAACGACAATAGCGGAGATTGCTGCTTTTGCTTCTAAATCATTTGTGTATGTATGTATTTGTACATACATATTTACATATGCATATTAAGAATATCAAACAGATTAAATTTTCTAAAATAATATTTTTAAATTTAATAATTTTCTAATTACAAAGTAAATATTCTAAAAAATTGCAACTATTTACTATTTCAAAATCAATTAAACAATTGCCTTTAGTAATCTCCAATCTAGAAAATTCTTCAGATTTGTCACCCCCCCCTTAAAGCTGCCTAAAACGCACAATAAAAGATATGTACTGTTGCATGTAAATTCATGTAAATAATAGTATATAAACGGTATAAACTCTTGTAAATAAAATTGTAAATATGTTTGAGTAAATATTTGTAAAAAAGCTATAGTAGTAAATAAAAAAGTATATGTATGTATGTATGTATGTTAGTATTTGTTTGACTGCAGACTATAGTTCATCAATGAGTTAATTGAATGGATGTTGCAAAGAATTTTTTTACAGTTTTTTTTTTTTGTATGAATTTATTTTGTTATTTGTTTTTGTTTTTATTTATTTTACAGATTGTTTTCAATGTTGTTGCCTCTGTGAAATTTAATGAAAAAATTGGTGATGCTATCGACATCAATGTTTTGGGTACAAAGAAAATATTGGATTTAGCCATGGAAATGAAAAATTTAAAGGTGAGCTAGAGTTGTAGCAAATAAACAATAGTTTAAGAAATTTTTTATAAATTTTTCTACTTTTCTATTAACAGTCATTTGTGCATATTTCTACTTTATATTGCAATTGCAATTTGAAAAAGATACAAGAGAAAGTTTATGAAAATGAGATAGGTTATGAGAAAATTATGCAGGTGTGTAAGGATTAAACTAAATTTAAACTACATATTGACAAAGTTTATTTATATTAAACATTTAACAGATTTTCCGCATATTTGATGATGAAACTTTGGAAAAGTTTAGTCCCTGCTTAATAGGTGAAATGCCCAATACTTATACCATGACTAAAAAATGTGCTGAGAATTTAGTTAACCACCGGGCCTTCTATTTACCAGCGGGCATATTTAGACCTCCTATAGGTAAGTAACTTCTGGAACTATTTACTAGTTTTGTTTTTGTCTTTAGCTTTAGTGTTTGATATATAAAAACATCATTATTTGACTCGTATAGTAGTAGTGCATGAGTTAAGCAGACAACACCCTTGGGTCCAAATAGAGAAAAAAACAGAAATTGTAGTAAAAAATAACGTTGCAAGTCATTATGAACAGTCAGTTAATGGTTTTAGTTTGTTAAAAGTGTAGCAAAGAATCTAAATGATAAAAAATTACTATTTTGCACATTTTTTTTACTTTTGTTGAATTTCTGTTTGTTTGCTAGTCTTGTTTTTTTTGCAACATGAACATTAGTGAGTAAAATAATGTCCCAGTGGTTGAGTATACGATTCTTTGTGTCCATTGTATATGCAATTATTAGGATACTACCAAGAAGTGGAAAAGAGTTTTGGTAAATCTCTTCACAGAGGGAAAAAAGAAATACACACGCCTGGCACCAAATAACTTTTCAATACCATCCATATATACAAACGTACGACAACACTATGTAATGTTGACAATATTGCAACAATTCGTTGTCGTAATCTAAATTTTATACACATCCGTTGACAAACAATCCGTTGCCAATAGTGAGCTTACCACGTTTGTTAACATTTAGACAACGGATGTGTATAAAATTTAGATTTCGACAAGGAATTGTTGCAACATTACATAGTGTTGTCGTACGTATGTATATATTTTGACAACGGATGTTATTGAAAAATTATAAACTCTTTGGTGTCAATTTGGCACCTCTTCCCTCTGTGTTGTTATACATAATTGGTTTAACTCTATTGAAGTGTTTTCTAAATTTAAAGAAATATACTAAGGATACTGATCCTTACTTTCGTTAAGTGAAGATTTTTAGCTATATTTATCAGTTTCTTTATTTAAGTTTCTTTATAGCCCCCTAATAAACACCGAATTTCGAATGTAAAATTTTTAGCAAATGTCTTTATGTTTAAAATTCAAATAATAGTAAAAACAACTATTTCTGTGTGTGTGTGTTTGTTTTTTGCTTTCTGGTCCTGAGAATCAGAGCAAAAGATGTAAATAGATAAACCAAACAAAAGTTTGTCATTCAGATGCAATAGTAGGAACAAAAAACTAAAAGAGATACAAACAAACAAATAACTAACAAACTAAATACTTATACCAACACACACATACATGCACACCACATGTTAACATTTAGAGAATCCTTTAGGACTTATTCAAACTTACTTGAACTGTGGGTATTCGGGGGGGAAGAACAAAACAAGTCACTGTTAAGAATTGTTAAAATTTAAGAGCAGAAAACTGAGGCAATAAGTGGACTTTAATTTAAGTCAAATATTATTATTTATTCATGTCGGCCCCTTTAGGGAATAAACGGGTAAAAACTGTATTTTGGTACTTTTTTTGCATCCCATATACATATCTTTAAAACTAGTGAAGATACGAAAAATGTTTTTTGACTCCTTCATAACTTAATGAAGAGATAAAAATGCGAATTTAGTACTTTTTGGATATTTCGACGTGTAAGGTGATGAAAATTGTACCTATTCTTGGTACTTTTTGCATAAAACATTGTTTCATATGTATTGATTTGTACATGTGAATGAATGGGCACCCACTACGATATTGAAACTATTTTGAATAAAATGTTTATTACTTTAATAGGGAAAGAAAAGTACCAAAAGAGGGGAAAAAAACGAGGAAATTGATTTAATTCAAACTCACTGAGCCAATTTTAATACAATTTCAGAAATTGGTAGATTTAGTAACACTAATGGGGTTTTATTTAGAACTACTTTTACTTTCGGCTCCTTTTTAAAATTCGGCCCCTTTAGGGAATAAACGGGTAAAAACTGTATTTTAGTACTTTTTTGCACCTCATCTAACTTTTAAACCAGTGAACATACAAAAAGTATTGTTGACCTTCATAACTTAATGAAAAAATAAAAATATGAATTTAGTACTTTTTGAATATTCGAACGTTTAAGGGATGAAAATTGTACTTAGTTTTAGTACTTTTCTCATAAAACTTTGTTTCCTATGTATTGACTTGTAAATATTAGTGCTATTAGGGAAAAGGTACCTGGTACCAAATTGACACCAAACTGTTTATAATTTTTCAATAACATCCGTTGTCAAAGTATATAAATACGTACGACAACACTATGTAATGTTGACAACATTGCAATTATAAACTCTTTGGTGTCAATTTGGTACCAGGCGTGTATATTTTTTTTCCCTTTGTGTAGAAACAAACCTATTGGTACTTTTTCGTTTTTTAACTGGTACTTTTTGAGTTTTCTATTATATTAAACCTAGAAACCTGAAAGTAAGCATTCAGGGACTTGAGTGAGTGAAAATCTAAAATTGAGTATTGTCTGGCACTTTTTTGTTCTTTAACTGGTACTTTTTGAATTTTCTATTATATTGAAATTAAATAAAAGAGGTGTTTTGGTACTTAAACTTTTTGACTTTCTGGTACTTTTTTCGTCCTTTTACTAATACTGTATTATTGTATTTTCTATAATATTGTACCTATAAACATAAAATTGAACACGCAGCTTTCTGATTTTATAAAAATCTGTCATCATCCTGATTAAATTAAAATCTATAAAAAGGAACTTTCTGGTACTTTTTCGTTCATCAACTGTTATTTTTGAATTTTCTGTAATATTGAGACTAGAATCATAAAATCAAACTTATAGGGTCCTCATTGATTATCTATATGAAACATGTATGAAAATCTATAAAAGGGGACTTTTATGGTAATTGGTATACAATTACTTGTATTGCAATTGCAATAACAAGTCATTGTAATTGATAAAACTTCAATTACACTTATATCCAAAGTAATTGTAATTGAAAACGTTATTAATTTTACTGAAATATCACTAAACATAAAATAATTTTTATTTTCATAGTTATGTCTACTTACAAGGATCCCATACCCGGTTGGACGGATAATTTATATGGTCCTTCGGGTCTTTGTACATGGTCGGCACGTGGTTTAGTACGTTGTATTTATGGCAATTCGAAGTGTAAGGCGAATATGGTGCCCGCCGATTATTGTGTTAACGCCATGATATCCAGTGCTTGGGATGTGGCCAGAAGGTGAGTAAAACTGCAATTAAACAATAAAAATTATTTATTATAATATTGGTTTTTTGATATTTTTAGATATAAAGCTGCTGCTCTAGAATCGAAAGAAAGACATGAAATTCCGGTATATAATTATATATTCGATAAAAATAACTTAACCTGGGGTCAGTATATGCAATTGTCACGCAAAGGATTTCATGAGCCTTTCGATAAGGCATTGTGGTGAGTATGAGTTGAATTTGGAAAATTTTCTACTTAATGACAAATAGAGAGCCACACGATAAAGAAAAAAAATCTGAACATATAAAATCAAATAAGTTCATCTTTAAGAATAAAATCGCAAAAAAAACTTAAAAAATTAGATTTTTTAGGCGTATACTTAATATTTATAGTATCAATAAATCATTAACACGTATACGTACAGGTGTCGTTAATGAAACAGTGCAATTTCACAATGTAAAACATTCGCTTGAAATGAAAATGTGAAGATGAAGTTGGGCCGAAAAACACGAAACACACAAATTTCAACAAAATATCTTGAAAATTGCGACCTGTACCTTGCGCACAAGGTTGACATGGACAGCCAGCCAGACGGACACACGGACATGGCTTAATCGACTCAGAAAGTAATTCTGGTGGTGTAGGGTATGAAAATTATACACAGTGAAAAACAAAAGTTTCTAATCAAAGTCCTTAGTCTAACTTTATATTTTAAAATTAGGTTAATTTGATTAACCTGAAATTTTTAAAATAAATCCCTTTTAAAGAACTCTAAAAAAACGTTATTTTTTATTGTTAACTTCAAAGTGCATAAAGTAATATAGTCTGTCAATTTTAAAGAGGTTCGAATACAAAAACATAAAAAATATAAAACCACTACTTATTCCCAACAAGTCAATAATAGTGAATGTAAAGTAAATTTATGTTCTTTACTTATAGATACATTTATGTAAAATTTATACAAACTACACATTCACAAACATAACTACTCATACATATACATATGTTTGAATATATGTTTATACGTATGTAAGTAGTATGTATGTATATTTACTTACATTTATATAGCTGCAAGTATATAAATGCACTATATTTTTCCACCATTACCCACTCTACAACCATTTAAAAGTCACTGCATTTCGCAGTTTTATCCATTCAATTCTTGTTGCAAATAACCACTCACACATAGAGTTTGAAATTGTTCATATGCAACTAAATAAAAATAAATAAAACACCTCTCGCGCGTTCCCCTTTCAAGAGGGATTTTTTTTTTGCTATTTTTCTATGGTGGTTTTTTTAACGACTTGTGCTCGAATGAATTTGACATATTTTATGGATTTAATACAAAAACAAACAATAAAAATGTACACAGGAACTACAAATATACATATGTGAGTGGGTGCAGAAAGACGACATATACATACATTTACAAGTACATGTATAGATAGATAAATATATTATATGTATGTGTACATATAGATTTACATATTCTTGTACAAACTATCAAAATAACATTTGTTATGTAAACTAAGTAAGTATAGCGTATTTACCAAGATCGCTTCTAAAGTACCCTTTACAAAGATAAAACCATTGTAGATCTGATTATCTTAATATTTCATTGAGCACTACTCACTCTTCATATCTGAATCACCAAAACTAAAGTGAATCTTGAGTGTTACTAATACGGTTCGAAGGACCAAAATAGTTTTTAACATTTCGTTGAGGAAATGATCTTTTGCTTTCTGAAAGACTAGAAGATCTAGATCTATATTTATTTAATTATAACTATTTATTTCTGACTACTGTAACGGTACGATGATTATTCTTATATGGCTGGAAGGACCATAAAATATGACAAACTGTTGTTTAAACATTATAATTCTCTCAGCTTATGCCTTGCTTAGTTCGATGGTTATTTTTCCAAAAACTTTTCATTGATTTGCCGCGATTTTTAAATGTACTTAACGTTACAAAACAAACGATAAATCTATATTTAGACTCAACACTCAGATTTGAGTCTATGAAATGAACACAATAATAAAAAACTAACAAAACTACAACAACAATAACAACAAATTTTTACATGTAAAGATATACACATTAGACGGGTTCAAGTTTTATAAAAAAATACTAATCTGAAAAAAGTAAGAGTCTATATGCATATATATTAGGGGGTCCCAAGGACTTTTTAGCAAAGGGCCTTAGTTCTCTACCAGCGATTAGAGATATTGATCTCAGTAAAAAATTTAAAAAAAATATTGTCTAACTTCGGGCTCTACATGCTTAACTTCATGTTTCTAGGAGCAATATTATAAAGAATTCAAAAAGTACCAGTTAAAAAAAACAAAAAAGTACCAAAAAATAGTGCCTTGTACGGGAGTTCATTACACCCCATTAGCAAATCTACAAATTTGTCACATTTTATAAAACTTAGCTTAATGAGACTGAATGAAATTAAATTTCCCGTTTTTCCCCCTTTTAGTACTTTTTACTCCCTATCGTAGTAGGAGCTCATCCATTTACTATTCATATGCACAAGTTTATACATATAAAAAACTATGGTTATGAAAAAGGTACCAAATATAGGTACAATTTTCAACCCTTAAGCATCCGAATAGCCAAAAAGTACTAAATTTTGATAAGTTAAGAAGGATTAGGGTTCTATAAACCGACTTTCGAATAATGGAACAATCGACTTTTTGTCGCAAAAAGTCGAAGTCGACTATTTTGTCCCAAAAAAGTCGATAACTCGACTATCGTCTATGAAAAAAGTCAAAAAGCCGACTTTGTAAATAAAAGTCGAAAAAAGTAGAAAAGTCGATAAGTCGAAAGTCGAAAAAAGTCAAAAAGTCGAAAAGTTGGAAAAAGTGGAAAGAAATCGAAAAAAGTCGAAAAAAAGGATAAAGTCGAAAAAATTAAAAAATAGTGGAAAATTTTAAAAAAGTGGAAAAAATGTCAAAAACTCTAAAATTGTCGGAAAAACTCGAAAAAAGTCAAAAAATAGTCGAAAATAGTCAAAAAGTCGAAGAGTCGAAAAAAGTCGAAAAGTCGACTATTTATAAAATACTAAAGTCGACTTTAAAGTCGAAAAGTAAAAAAAATCGACTTTTTATAATATGCAAAAAGTCGAAATGTCGACTTTTAACTAAATGCAAAAAGTCGAAAAGTCGACTTTTAACTAAATGCAAAAAGTCGAAATGTCGACGTTTCCTTTCAACTATAGAACCCTAAGAAGGAGCCGAAATATCTTTTGTATTCACTGGTTTACATGATACATGCGGTGCAAAAAAAGTCCCTTAATACTGTTTTTACCCGTTTATTCCCTAAAGGGATCGAATTTGAAAACAGTACCAGACACTTGTCCGATTTTTTTTTAAATAAACGACGATAAGCTTTAAGCTATCTTTCGAGTTTTGGTTGTTTTTGTACAATATGTGTATTTATGTACGTATGAAAACAAAAAAGAGAGCTCATTTGAGAGCTCGTTGCGTTTCGCTGATATAGATTTATAAAGGGTTCGGGGCACAACTGATACAAGTTCTTTCGAAAATCACCCTGATGTGGATATATATAAAGAGCTTATGTGTTCGTAATAGGAATGAATTCTGCCTATGTTTTGCATTTAAGTGAAGACTTGCAAAAGAAGTTTATTAAGAAGCGTAAAAACCGACTACAACGAAATTAACTATACAACCATTACCACCCTAATATCTAAATTTATGCATAAAAGTTACGGATACATACACACACATACACTTGCCCATAACTAACTCAAAACACTTGGCAAACTATTTCATCCAATAACTTTATCTGCAGTGTAACCTAAAACCGATACAGCAATATTGATACCAACCATATGATGATAGTGGCAGTGGTGCTGAACATGCACATAATCATACGAAACTTATTACATAACCCAGCAGTTCTGCAAGGAGTCTATGTATTCCTTTTAGAAAGTAATATTTCTCAAATTATAAAATAAATACTTCACTGACTCGTACTTTACTCTTTGTTATGCAGAGTGAAATTTAATTAACACTTAAGAGTCTAGAAGTAATACAGCGAAAGTTTAGATACTACTTTAGGGATCTTAAGGACTAACTAACCGGAAGTCTATTGTGTAGTGTAGTCAAGTTTCGAAAGTTGGTATTTAATGCATTAGGAGTAACCATTCGCAGACTTAGTTGTGCAATTATTACATTGGTATCAGCACTCCGAATTGCAGGGTATATCCATTTTTATACAATAGCAAAAATTTGCGTATGCAAAATAAAAAGTTTATGCAACACACAGATACAAACACACTCATCGATGTCATCTATGCTTTTGCCAACACATTGCACAAACAAAAAAATCCCCGAGAATGACACATACAAACAAACATAAGCTGAAGTAAAGGCTGAAAGGTTCAAGCCGACTTTTGGATACTTTTTTGAAGCGTTGACAATAGAAAGTTTAAGCTTCAAAGTAATTCAATTCAATAGTTTTTGAATTACGTGAAGAGTTTATGGTTAAAATCACTATATTTTTATACCCGTCACCATCGTGAGAAGGGTATATATAAGTTTGTCATGCCGTTTGTAGTTTCCACAATTCCTATAAAGTATATATATTCTGGATCCTTATAGATAGCGGAGTCGATTAAACCATGTCCGTCTGTCTGTCTATTGAAATCAATTTTCTGAAAACCCCAGATATCTTCGAGATCCAAATTTTCAACAATTCTGTCAGACATGCTTTCGAGAAGTTTCATATTTAAAATTAGCAAAATCCGTCCATAAATAATGGAGATATGAGCAAAAACCTGAGACAATCTTTGAAAATTTCATCAAAAAAATACAATTTTTCACATGCTTTGATAAAAAAGCAACAACAACATTGCTTATTGAAAAAAACATATGTTTGGATGTGTGTTGGTTTTATTGCTTTATGTATTTTGTTTTTGTTTTGTTTCCTTTCGCATACTTGTTGTTTGTTTGGTTTTGCTATCGCTAAAGTAATAGTAGAGTCGGGAAAAAATGGGACTCTAACTGTTATATTTTTTCCGATTTACTGATTTAATATATTCTTTATACAGGAGGTGCCACACCCCCTTAGCCAATCCGCCCATTTTTGTCCTCAAATATATATATATGGATGTCAAAATTGTCCATATAAAATTTGAAGACTCTAGCTGTTGCAGTCTCTGAGATATGCCACTTTTTATACTTATTTTGTATGTGGGCGTGGCATCTTGCCTACTAGGCTCAAACGGTCCAGGCGTTTATGCGTCTACAGACTACAAACACACCCATTAGACATTGTTGACATTATATGAGATTAGTATTATGTTATGTTTAAGAAATAAATGTCAGTTAAGTGATAACAAACTGTCACTATAAACAAATAAAACATTTTCAAAATATTCTCTTTGGGGTAAAGGTAGACAAATTAGCATTGTCAGAGAAGTAAGTTTCAATCACAATTATCCATTATTGCACATAAAAATTTCAACTTTTCACATAAAAGACACAAACACAACAATGAATTAATATGAACCAACATTTTTCGTTTAAATTATTTAAATCCCCACGATGATAACAAACAAGCAAACGACTGACGGACGGACACACGGACAGACCTACAAACGAACGTTTGAGCAGCGAACAAAATGTCATTGTTATAACTTTACAAAATACATACAAACCTAACTACTACATACATGTATTACGAATGTGCGTGTGTGTATGTGTATCCTTTTCTACTTCTCTTTTTTTTAATGCTCTTTTCTGTTTTCTGGTTTTTGGATCAGGTGCTTTTCGTACATAATAATACCATGGAAGCCATTACATTATGCCGCCTCCATCTTTCTACATCATATACCAGCTTATGTACTAGATTTAATTGCCATGGCTACCGGACAGAAATGCATGTAAGTATGTCAATTATTTATTTTTCATAAAACTTGTTTGGCAGGATTCTCTCAGTAGCTTTATATCTACTGAATGTGTTTGTTTGTATTCAATTGAATTGAATAATGCAGCATGCTAATGTATATACACACATACATACATACACATTCATGCAAAGATTTTTTAAAGTTGATTTTGATGTTATTGTCATTTGCTTTCTTCTGTTCTCTTTTTGTAGTTACATTAAAGCTTATTCAAAGATTACCAAAATCATTTACATGATGTCCTGGTTTGGTCTCAAAGAATGGATGTTTTCCAATCAAAATATCGCTGAATTGGATGCATTGATGTCGGACGAAGAAAAGAAAGTTTTACAATTCAATACCAATACGATTAATTGGAATGAATATTTTCGTTCCTATTTAAGTGGTATACGAAAATATTTCTTCAAGGATACGGAAAATGATTTACGTAAAAGAAAAACTTTTTATCGTAGGTAGGTATTGTCGTGTTTGAACTCTTTGTTGAACAATAAAAAATCCAGTTTTTTAATAAATAAAAAGTTTGACATCATTTGGCAATGAAACAAACAAAAATAAGTTCAAACCGGAAATTAATTGCATACTTATTATGAAGTATAGAAAAAAATTATATTTCTTTAGCTTAAGTAGTTTTTAATTACATTTTTTGGTTGGGTTTCTTAGGCGGGGTCACTTGCAACTGCAACACAGTGCTACAGTTATGAACACAAAACAAAAACTGTAAAAAACCAACCACCTTCTACCCATTCACCTTGTGTTACAGTTTTCAAAATCATAACATTTGCAAATTTCCTTATTTAAACAAATTTGTTAACCAGTGTAATTATTTATTTATGTTACTGCAATTTTCTTACATTTTCTCTAACCTTTTTTCGTTGTCTTTTATTTTACCTATTTTCTTTTTTCTAGATGGCTTTTCATACACAACCTGTTAAAGACTTCATTTGGTGTTACACTCATTATGTGCCTTCTAAGGATTTATTACAAACTTTTCAAAATCATACCAAAAATTACACTCTAAGATAACTGGCTGTAAACGGTGCGGTGCAGTGACTGCTGCTACACACGGACTCCCAGCAATAATTAAACGAACCCTGATACCTACATACCTTTGTACAACTAGTAATTACGTGGTGGCCTGGTCAACAAAACCATAAATAACACTTGAGTAGGTGGCGGCACAGCAAGCAGTAGCAGTAATACATACTTAAGTGTATGTAGAACTATTTTCTTTTTCATTTCTAAGATTTTGATTTGTAATTGTGTAAAAAAAAAATGGAAAAAATTAATGTGTTTTTAATCTTTTCAAAGTTTTATTGTATTCTACAAGACCTAGAGTAAAATACACTTAAGTATATATTGCAGCACAACTATATGTTTTACTTATTAACTTATTTCTCTTCTATATTGTTATAATTAATGAACTTGTATCAAAATATTTATTTATTAACTAAACTATATATTCTCATTTATTACAGAAAATAAAATAAAACCAAACACTTTAAGATGAAAACGTTATTTATGATCGGGCTTAATATAATTTATATTAAGCTGAAAAAAATAAAATAAATTAATACAATTACTTACTTGGGAAATATTACTTTAAATATGTAAACAATATATAAGTGTTTAACAATTTAAGAAAAACACATTCTAAAATTTAACACATAAGTATCTGAAATATCTCATATGTATTAATCCTTTGTTAAGAAATATTTAAAAAAATATTCCATTTTGTTTGCCAGTGGCTCTGGAAAAGAAATGAAAATATAGGTTATGTGATATATTTGCCTCGAGCAGAAGTTGTGAAAAATAAATAAGTATGTAAATAATAATTTTTAATTATAAGGGAACATAGTATGTATAAGGGAAACTAAAGAGTTTGCAATTTTGCATTTAAAGAGGAAACAATTAGTAAACTATAGTCGGCCATATCCGCACATTTTTTTTCTTCATTTATTATAACCGAGACTTTTTTATTAATACAATTTACGATTTTATTGTATATCATTTATGTCGGATATAACTTCAGTTTCTATTTATAATTATTGACCACGTACTGATTTTCTAAACTGGACTTTTTATGGGAACTATCTAAAAGTCAATTATGGAAGTTTAAGACATTTGAGAAAGGGATTGTACGACGGTTATGGTTAATTATAGATAGATCATTAAGATCGGAAGTACTGTTATTTCCTTTATAAAATATAGATTAAATGATTTTTGTATTAATTAACAATAGTATGAGCTAAAAAGTACGAATCGGAGGATCCTCTGTTATGGGCGCTAGGTAAAATAATCAACTAATTTCAATGCGCTTAGAATAAGGGCCGAAAGTAATAACTATATCGAACTAACTAACTAACTAACTAACTAACTAACTAACTAACTAAAACTAACTAACTAACTAACTAAAAAACTAACTAACTAACTAAAAAACTAACTAACTAAAACTAAACTAACTAACTAACTAACTAACTAACTAACTAACTAACTAACTAACTAACTAACTAACTAACTAACTAACTAACTAACTAACTACTAACTAACTAACTACTAACTAACTAACTAACTAACTAACTAACTAACTACTAACTACTAACTAACTAACTAACTAACTAACTACTAACTAACTAACTAACTAACTAACTAACTAACTAACTAACTAACTAACTAACTACTAACTAACTAACTACTAACTAACTAACTAACTAACTAACTAACTAACTAACTAACTAACTAACTAACTAACTAACTAACTAACTAACTAACTACTAACTAACTAACTAACTAACTAACTAACTAACTAACTAACTAACTAACTAACTAACTAACTAACTAACTACTAACTAACTAACTAACTAACTAACTAACTAACTAACTAACTAACTAACTAACTAACTAACTAACTAACTAACTAACTAACTAACTAACTAACTAACTAACTAACTAACTAACTAACTAACTAACTAACTAACTAACTAACTAACTAACTAACTAACTAACTAACTAACTAACTAACTAACTAACTAACTAACTAACTAACTAACTAACTAACGACTAACTAACTAACTAACTAACTAACTAACTAACTAACTAACTAACTAACTAACTAACTACTAACTAACTAACTAACTAACTAACTAACTAACTAACTAACTACTAACTAACTAACTAACTAACTAACTAACTAACTAACTAACTAACTAACTAACTAACTAACTAACTACTAACTAACTACTAACTAACTAACTAACTAACTAACTACTAACTAACTACTAACTAACTAACTAACTAACTAACTAACTAACTAACTAACTAACTAACTAACTAACTAACTAACTAACTAACTAACTAACTAACTAACTAACTAACTAACTAACTAACTAACTAACTAACTAACTAACTAACTAACTAACTAACTAACTAACTAACTAACTAACTAACTAACTAACTAACTAACTAACTAACTAACTAACTAACTAACTAACTAACTAACTAACTAACTAACTAACTAACTAACTAACTAACTAACTAACTAACTAACTAACTAACTAACTAACTAACTAACAAACTAACTAACTAACTAACTAACTAACTAACTAACTAACTAACTAACTAACTAACTAACTAATAACTAACTAACTAACTAACTAACTAACTAGAAATTAAACATGCAGAGCCCGGAGTAACTGAGAACCTGTAAAAATATGCTTTTTGGTACTTTTTCGTTCTTCAAAATGTACTTTTATTGAACCTAGGGATATGGGGAATACCATGTCAAGTGACCCACCTCAAAAAATCGATTTTGACGAAATTTGCACTAAGGTTAGTACTATTAGAAGGAAATGGTTTAAGCTTTTTTTTAGTAAAGAAATTGCAACAAAAACGTTCATTTTGAAAATATAGGGGAAAATTAAAAAAAGTCGAAAAAAATTGTATTCTTTAGTTAAAAAATACTTTTTTTTTCATAGATATCCCACTCGCTGGATTTTTAAAGTTGGATCACTTGACACGAAAATCACCATATGTGGAGCCCGAAGTATATTAGGAATACAGAAGGGATCTTTTTGGTATTATTTTTGTTCTTCATCTGGAACTTTTTAAACCTAGAAACATAAAATTAAGTATGTATAGCCCGGAGTAAATGAGAAAAAGGGGACATTTTGGTACTAATATGAAGAACGCAAAATGAGAAGCAAAACTTTTAAAAGGGAACATCTTGATAATATTCTGGTACTTTTTTAATTTTTTAAATTATTGAACTTAGAATCGTAGATGTAGGATCCCGATGGAATGAAAATTTATAAGAAATAAATTTATGTTACTTTTTCGTTTTCAGTTAGTACTTTCTGATTCTTTTTTACAATTCAACCTGGTTAGAAACGTAGAATTAAGCATGCAGCGTCCTGATTGAATAAAAATCTATAAAAGTGGCCTATCTGGTACTTTTTCGATTTCCATTAGATATTTTTTATATTTTTTGTAATAAAATATACAGTTTGTTCGTTTGTTGTTTTGTAACTAGTATGTTTTACATCCAACTAGTAATGTACCAATTCATAACTATAACTGTCAAACTAAATTCTAGATGTAATTTTTCTAGGATTAGCAATACGATTTTTATAAACAATTATTTTGGTTCAACTCACAAATTACATTATTGATTTTCAAAAAACTACAATAACTTATATTGACAGTTTTCATACAACTTTTGGATCAAGTTTACCTTTCACACTTGTAAGTCTTAAATAAAAAACGTCCCCAAAAATTAATTATTTTAAAATAGACTTATTTAACATTATAAACTCTACTTTAAAACTACAAGCAAACATTGACAGTGAATTGATGCACTTAGACGACAATCGCGAGTACTTAATTTTCCTTATTCGTACTAAATAACCCGATTATCACCACACGCACACTTGCAGATACATGTTCTCATGAACATCTCGTACACACAGATACAGTATTCGTACATAAGCCAGTTTTATCATTTAACGTGTGAAGTGTTTTTGTTTAAACGTGTTTCTTTTTTTTTGTTTGTTTGTTTGCAACGGAGCGTATGTGTATAAATTTCATATAAAAACGTGTCCTCATCCTCGATTTACTGTTTGAATATTACTGATGCTCGATGTTGATGCTGTTGTACTTCCTTGCCTGGTTATAATGTTCTCGTGACGTATTTAGAGGTATGTTCGCTTAGGTATACTGCGATGATATTCAAAGCACAAAAGACTGCCTGCCATTATCGAGAAGTGTGAATACAAATATACCTCAGGGAATGTTGACAGTTACTTTAACGACAACGACTTTCGATGTGATTCACATTAAAGACAATGAGTGGAAAAAATGGGAAACTCATAGAATACATATTTGTGTTTTGGATGCAGAGTTAAAGCAGTTTAAAATTGAAATATTAAAAAAACGAATGGTTTGAAGGACATATCGTTTTCAACATATAAATAACCAATAATGCTCTTAAACCTAATAAAAATGTAAGGAAAAGACTGGGTGGTAGCGGTTTTAATTACAATTGTATTTCCTCTTTTCTGAAATGTTAAAAATATATTTAAATATTCTGAGAATATATTTCCGGGGACGATTTGACTTAAAAAAACATTTTCAAAACATACTACAAAAATTTAAAAATTTAATATTTACGAATGAGTAAATAAATATAAAATATAATAAATTAAATAATGATATATTGTGTTTTAATGTCAGACGAAAACCATTTATGCACCATTTAAAAGGAGTATAAAACAAAATTTTGAAAATGTATATAAGAACCGTATGTATGAAAGTTCTGCATACATTAGGCCAGCACTGAGAAAGAGGACCGATTAAAAGTTTCGGCCAATCGTAGAATAAACTCGATTTACATGTTTAAAATATAACTTCTATTGCACAATGGGGCAGAATCTGAAGATGTTAAAAGTGTAACGGCTCTATCTAGATGATTAATCAGAAATGAAGGTAATTGGTTCTTAGGATAGTTTTTTTGTAAAAAATTTAGTTTTCAATAAAGTAAGTTAGTAAGTCAGTAAGTTAGTAAGTTTGTGAGTTAGTAAGTTAATAAGTTAGTAAGTTAGTGAGTTAGTGAGTTAGTAAGTTAGTAAGTCAAGAATTTAGTAAGTTAGTATGTAAGTAATTTTGTAAGTTAGTAAGTTAGTAAATTAG